CCTGGACCTCATTGTCACGCCGGCCCCGCCGCAACCACCCGCCCACACACACCCGCCCACATCCACATACCCACACTCTATTGAACCTGATATTGCTATAGATGATGAGCGAGTAGTAGATAAATTTGCACGAATTCATAAGAACAGCAGGATTTTATATTGTTAAGTTGTCTCATTAGATGTTTTTAAAATAAAAAGTCAAGCGCTCTATACATTCATGCAAATTATTTAGTATGGAACAAGAAATATTTTTGACGAATCCAAAAGTTCGAAAAAGTTTGGATTCAATGTTTTCGTCTTTGGAAATTAAGTAAGTTCGAGCGCACTCTGGTCAAAATCCTGAGGGCTTGAGCCCACTCTGATCTAAATTTGTGACACCGCCGCTAGGACTATGTTGGGAAAAAGAACGCATTCCATTTGTTCCAGAATCTGATCAACTTCAATACTCTGTTTATCATAAATACTTCACGCAGATGTGACTTACTCATACCAACCATACTAATCCTTTTTTCAAACCTCCAGAAAAGTATCCAAACAATATTGAAGCTCACAACCAAGACTAAGAAACATGCATTATTCCTTATAATTTGTACTTTTAGTCTACACTTAACATTAATGAACATCCTAGTAGCTTAAATAATACTCCATAAGTATTTCCTTCTTAGAAATTGAATAAAGTTTATTGTTGGTGTGAATAGGGTACTCTTATATTTACCAACATTCATACTCACATCATAGAGGTAATAGGGTGACCTCTATAGGCACTAGCAATCTCCTCACGAAGATACAAAAGACAGATCCTGTTGTGACACTGCATTATTTTTTGACAATAAAGCTTGTTTTTCAAAATATATAACGTTTATTAGTAATAATATGAAAGTATTTTCTTTTTCGAGGGATCCAATGGTGCTTGCATGTTGCATGACGCTGTGAGAGCAAATAGTCATGTCTATAAATTGTTCTTTTTCTGTATTTATGCCATTTAGCTAGTAAATAATGGCATATGATGAAAATATTTGAGTCATAAAAAAAACTTGCTGATAAACCATAACAAAAAAACTCGTATCGCTCCCCTTTCAAACTTTCATCTCAGTTTTTGTCTTTCACATTATCGTAATGCAATTCATATATGGCTGTTAACGCAAACAGTCTCATCACAGCCGCTTTTTCTTCGATGCTCGGTATTATATCGACAAATTCCTTTGGTTTACCGGTGACTATCGATATCTTGAAACTTTATTCATGTTTCATTCCGAAAAATTGTACTAAAGAATTATATGTGAAAATATCGAGAAATGAAACAATCATTCTCGAAGTATATTTATATAATACAATAGAAGAAGTCAAAATGAAAATTCAAAGTAAAATCGGAATTGCATGCGAAAAACAGCAGTTGAGTTTTTTCGAAAAGTATCTTGATGATAAACGGACAATAAAAGATTATGGGATACGAAATGGATCATGGTTGCGTCTTTTTCTTTCTGATAGAATGAAGATTTTTGTCAAGACTCTTACCGGAAGAATTATGACATTTGATGTGGAACCAGATGAACCCATCGATAGTATAAAAGAAATGATCGAAGATCTTGAAGGCATACCAACCAACTCCGTATTCTTGCTCTTCGCTGGAAAAGAAGCTAGAAGTGGACACATATTAGCAGACTATAATATAGCGAATGGTTCGACGCTAGATCTCAGCTCTATGGCCACTCTAAAGATGCAAATCATTGTCACACATCCTACTGAAAAAATTATTGATTTATATGTCTCCGCATTTCACACCGTTCAATATGTCAAAACAAAAATTCAAGATAAAGAACGAATTCCATCCGATCAACAACGACTGACTTTTGAAGGTCAAGTAATGCACGATCGACGCACACTTTCATATTACAATATTCGTAATGAAAGTACTCTATACCTAGAAATGATACCTTTATCTCAAGAGAAATCAACGATTCGGAATGTGATCATTCGAACACAATAAAATGACGAAGCCATCCTGAATTGCTCTGCTAATCTGACTGTCTATGAACTAAAAAAGAAGATTGAAGTAGTAATGAAAATTCCTGTCGAAGAACAATGCTTAGTGGAAGATGGTGATTTGTTGTTATCTGACTTGGCCTCGAAATACGACAATATTCTAATATTACTTCCACCGATTCGTGTCAAATTGAATTTCATCACTAACACTCTTGTTGACATGATCCTCTTTTCTCTTTGGTCTATTCAACAGCTTGAAAATAAAATCAAAAATATTCTCAGTATAAAGGCATTTAAAATACAGTTATCATGTTGCGGTCACGTATTAAAAAGTAATAAACTCGTATCAGATTACAGTGATATTATTAAAGACGGATCTATCATTGTTGTGAAACTAGAATATATAACGATTTTGAAACCGAGTGAAAAATATTTTCAAACATTCGGTTATATGTCAGTTGCAAAGATGAAGAATTTCATCAAAAAACAATTAAACATACCTGAACAACGTCAAATATTGTTTGTGCACGACGACTTTCAAACAAACGATCAGCAAATCATTCCGTATTTGACATAGAATATCGGTATATCTGTTGATGTCTACATAGTTGATTCCTCATGCAGCACTGCTCTGTTTTGTATCAAACTGCCAAATAAAGTTCGCCGGCCACTTTTGCTCAACAAACCTTGGACAGTCTCCAATTTAAACAAAGTAATACTGCAGAACTTTGGTTACGCCATTCAAGCACAAGTGATACGTCTTCGGCAACAAGCTCGTATGCAAAGCAATGTATCGGTTATCGATAATGATCAAACAACGGTAAAATGCTCCGTCGAGATGCCAGATAAAGAGATACTAAGCAGTGATGTAGAATTAGTTAACAGTAGTACTATTTCACTTTCAAGTAAAAGTCAACATCTGTTTTGGAGAAAAACTTCTTCAGCAGATGAAGTTCATGACAGTCAAATCTTACCATCAACAATCGTGGAAACATTAGTTGATGCTCTTACACAAAAACTAGGTCTTGTCTCCAGTTATGTGCAACTTTCTCACTGTGTGTCACATATGAAGCTTGTGGATAAATATCGTACGTTATCTTCCTATGGTCTCGAAGCCGGTCAAATCATTGACGTGGCCATCGATCCAACAGCCACGCGCATCATTTGCATAGTTTTGTCGTCTGGAAAAATTTTGGAGTTTGATGTAGTCATAGAAAGTCGTATGCGTGAATTAAAAAAGATGATTCAAGATTATACAGGTATTGACATTTCTTACCAAGTCATTCTCAAAGATGACCGAGCACTAGTCGATGATGAGATCATATCTGATTGTCTTGGCGATTCCAACGGTCCATTAAATGTCAACTTTGTTCTAAATGGTTCATTAATTCTTGATCCATCAATATTCGCATCGAATTTTAACTATAACCATACCATTCCTTATGATGAGCTTCATGGTGGCAAGCAAATTGTCTTCAATGTTCAAAGCAGATATGAAACGAAAGATTGTTGGCTTGGCATAATAGGTACCGCTGCTGGTGTACTGTTTGAAAATTGAGTCAATCCCAAATATCTCAAAGTAATCGACAATCAACAAATAGGTAGTGGAACATTTTGGGTTAGCATGAAGTACGGCAGAGGCGATAGTAGCAATGATATCAGCGAACTTATTCGACCGTATGCCATCTGGATTTTTACAGCTCTAAACTAAAATATCAGTTGTTCATTTCTTAGCGGGAATAAGGCTGAATATGATCGTTGCAAGCCTGGTATCGGTGTTTATTGTATTTTATTCTCGACACCACATGTTTTGGATACAACTATTTATTTCTACATATAAAACTGCTTACATAGTGACGAACTTAAGTTTCGACATTACAAGAGTGTAGGTGGATGGGCTGCGTCAGTGTATGTGGTGCGAGGGTGTGGATGTCACTGTGAATATGGGTATTCCATTTAAGAGATGCCTACACGCCATACCCGTACGTTGAATTATGGGTGAGATACCACATTTTCTCCTTGGATGCCAAACAATTATTTAAGTAGCTACATCTTGTTCAAGATTTTCATCACGTACAGATTCCGCTGAGAAATTTTTCTTCACTATCTATTTCTCTGAGCTTTCTCTCATTTAGCATCTTACTGTCAATATAAAATCCCACTGGACTACCAATTCTATATTAGTTTTGCATCGTCAAATATAGAAATTATGAACCGGCTGCAGGTATTTTTTGAGTATCAAAATAAAGACAATTCGTGATCTCCTCTGTCCCTGAGAAAGCTATGGTATAAATAATAAGGAATGAAAGTAAATGCATAATAAATTACAATGTCCAAAAACGATTTCATTTTATTTAGATATTATAATTTAATATCGAAGTGACTTGTATAAATATATTAAAATTAGCCGTATTTTGATGAATATTCACTTAATGTAACCACTCTAATGCATATTTCTCTATAGAAATAGTTATAGATATCAGTAAATATGGATTGTCATGCGCAAAAAAAAACATTTCGGTGATCAGTTAATTGAAAAACAAACATTAAAATAACTCAAAAAACTATACCGATGGAATAGAAAACGTTATGTCGACTGGTAGCTAGAAAGTCTTTTGTCAGACAAGTTATTTACCTTTACCAGTTGCAACTCTGCCGTAATAGTTTATTATCACCATGCAATGATGACGACAATTATGTGTAAAAAAGAGAACAACGATAAAGGAAACAAGAAAAAACAATTCAGATGTTCTTTATACTTATGTAAACAAATATTTTTCGTCAATAGGAATGAGTAAAAACAGAAAGAAAACCAAATCACGGAAAGAATCATTCACGAATGAAACAAACAACTTGAAGGAATCCGAATAAGAGTTGATTTTAGTAAAGCAAAAAAAATTACCCAAGGACGATGCTACTCTTCTATCTTCACTCTTCATCATTCTTGGATGAATAACGAAAAAATCAGACAGAGTTAGGAGTTGTGAAGATTAAGGTGATCATTTCAAAAAAATAAATATTAAAAGAAATGATTTTAAAAGTCATTTAAAGATTAGACATCTTTTCTTCAAAAAATCAGATTAGATTGTGGATGCGATTGAGCAGACTTTAATTAACGTAGACCCAATGCAATACCAACACTCACACCCTTGAAGGAATCCTACACTAACTATACGAATACCTCCATTCCTCATCTTATGATATACTCACTTGAATGTCTACAACTGTCAATTTTTATTTTTTCAGCAAGTCTGAAACGAGTCCAAGTACTATACACGCTATCACAATTATAACTATCAATGACAGAATATATTGAAGGAATGCTTAAGCTACATTATTTGATCTGTGAACATTTCTAACATCAAACAAGATGAACAATCGATCAGATCTTCTAGCAGCCTCCTTGTCTCAATTTGAAAGCGTTACGCACTTGTTATATCTATTAAAATATTTAATTGAAGTTCTCATTTGAGTTGCTAGATATCTCAAATGATCGTCAGATTGTAAATTGTCAATACTCGAGGGTTCTCCTGTCAATGAACTTGCGTCATGTTTGGCAACCCATGACAATATTGCTGGTTGTTCATACGCATGTCGATATGCGGCGATCACAAGACGACGAAAAACTTGAAACGTGATTGAACATAACAGGGCATTATCATCGACATGAATTTATGCAGTCATGGTCAAATCGTCAATCGAATATTCTTGTGTGTATACGGTGTATTGTGACAGTTTATAATCATTCCACACATTAATGATGATACTTATATGTAAACAAAGGGAAAAAGCGATGAAAATCGACGTGATACTTTTGTAGATAAAAATGCAATTTTTTGCCAATAAGAGTAAATATAAAAGAAATACACGTGTATCATAAAAAAGAATCATTTCCATGTAAAAAAAAAAGATAAAAAAATCAGATTTTAATCGATATTTTCTAATTAATAATGCATTAAAAAGGCACGATTTTAATCAAAAGAATCGATTTCATAGGATTTATCACTGCATAATCAATTTTTCTGTTTAAAAATCAGTTTGAAATCGATTAAAATCTGATTGTTTTCATTTATTTACATGATTATCTTTTAGTAAATTTTATTCTATTCTCACTTCTTACTCAATTTTGGGTGTGGATGTGGACGCGGATGTAGCACGCACTCTCACATCCGTATTCCCGTCAGGAGAAGTGAACACGTCTCCAAATTTTGGGATATGTGAAATTACTCATTCCTCCCAATGTTTGAATGAAAATACTGTGTAGCACCATAAATAAAATAGTATTGTTTCAAAAAATTTAGAATTTTGTATTATATGACGATATGAAACATCGAGTAGTGGCGTAAACAGTGCATATGATTAGAAGCATTGCTCTCACTTTCATATAAACTGGTAGTTCATAGATAGGTACCAATAAGAAATTTGGAAATCTTGTTTACATATCTGCGAAACAAGTAGAAGCATTTTTTATGGAAAGCCCGTGGTAATTGAACCGCTAAAAAACCGACGGTTATTCGGCAGTTTATTCAATCGATCAAATTTTCAGTAGTGACTATTCGATTCATCAGATTCTTTCGTAGTATTATTTGTTTTATTAAAATATTTGATTATTTTCTTTGCATTTGACTTTTGAAAAATGTTTAACAACAACTAAACAAGCAGCTTCAGCCCAGCGATACAGAAAAAACAGCTCATATGTTCTTGACAGCTTTTCGTAGAAAAACATACTAAACCACGCTATAAGCCATCATGTAGTAGGCAGATAAGGCTTTAAAGTTATTGAATTCGGTTAACATGAATCTACAAATTACATAGGTTTCTATTGAATATTTCTTGAATTATTTTTATCATCAGCAAAGCAATTTCTATTCTAACTGTTCCTTCTCGTTGTTTTTATAAAGATTGAACTAGCTAGATGTAGTCAACGTCAGAATTTTTTGATTGCATTATTCAGAAATTAGAAAAAAAATTTCCAATGCAGGCTTTTTACTGAATTCTCAGTTATTATCACAAAAATAATCATGATAAAATATATGAACCATCTGGAATCAACTAATGATTCTTCTTTGGGAAAACAACGCGACTCAAACTCAAGAGATAATTTAACTTAAGTACTTGAATTTTTTCTTATGACGTGATATTATGCTACATCCTCAAGAAACTATCACCTCATCATTTCCGATGGGACATAGATTCCATCGTGATCATTTTTTTAATAACAACTTATAATGTATGTTTTCAAAGTCTGCCTTTGAGAATTTTCTCTAACTCCTGAATGATGCAGTCAAGAAATTCTGCCATTAATTATATCTATCTAGTTCAAATCTTTTAAAACGAGGGTTTAGTATGCTGTTCTATGAAAAATTATCAAGAAAACATGGATACTGATGCTCAGTCCTAGCGTTAAAATAAAGTATACCCTGTGTATCCCATTCCGTAGAAGGAGCTATAACAAAATTGTATCCGATGATAATTGAATTTAAAAAAATAAGAAATGAAATAGATGAAGTGTTGAATATTTTAATTTTTATCAGACTCCCTGTGTTACAATGCTTTTACATAATTAGAATTCGATAGGTGACTATTCGAATTTAGCACACAGGCATGGAACTTGACACTTTGAGAAAAAACTATGAACGCGAAAACTCAGAATCATCTTTAAATCTTCTTAAAAATATGTTGGGTTTGAAAGCACTTACAACTCGGTTACTGATCTTTAATGATTTTACTAATATTCTACTTTTATTCTAAAGAAAGTACTGAATCTAAAAACATAATTTCGAAGTAGCACGCTTCATGATGAGTTGATTGTCAACAGAAGTCTGTATCAGAAAAAAATCATTTGAATTACATGATAGAAATTGTTAAATGTGCGATTAAACAAATTGAATAACGATAGTATTTGCTAGTTTGTCTTCATGTATTTGTGATGAATTTTACCGTATTTAATTTGAAGTCTATTTTGGTACATGAGTGAATACTAGTCAGTGTTTACTCATATCATTTTAATATCGTATTATTCATTATATGATTCGAATCATATCGTACTAAAGTCAGAATGATAGCAACACGTTTGGTATAACTGCAGATTGGTCACACCGCGGCACCCACACACTTTGATGTGCCTTGTTTTTCATACCAATTGGTGTAGAGAGTGTGACGAATGTGCAGTTGAACCGATCTGAACAAGTGCACTAGTGAGTTCGTTTTAGATATAATAAAACGGGTTACTCATATTAGCTTCCAGATCATGCGGTGATTCATGTATAAAAATTGCATTCCTATGCTAGAATTATGATAATATTTTTTTAATCCTTTTAATTGCAGCATTGCTTACGTCACACGCGGTAGATCTATTTTGATAAATACTTCTTCGGAATGAAGGAAAAACATTCGTCCATATCATTACTCTGAAAAAACAATGAAATACCATAGTGAACTATTTTGGCGATGAATTCCAAACATTTTTCAAGTTCCACACTGTACTCGAGACTTTGTAAGGAATGAAGCGTTTTTCAGTAGAAATCGTTCGACCACTACTAATTTCACAGGGAATATATGAAAACAAAAATACCAATACATCGGTCGTTAGTTTTCTCTTGACAAATATTTAGAATGTCCCATTTTCCATTACATTTTTTGGCAAGTTCTTTTATTTTTACTTGTAAATATTCCAAATAGCATTCTATACATTCAACCGAAAACTTTCACAAAAATATCTCATTTTGTTTTTAGCTACACAAGGTAGTCACTAATCAACACACATTGCAATAGCTATCAATTCAAATCCTACACACTTCTCGATTATCTTTCATTGGGGAATTTACAGCGTTCCTGCTTTTAGTGATGTGACCTCGGCAAAGACACGAAGCATTCAAGATGGAGCTGAATGGTATCTCAGACGACTCAATGGTGGAAAAGGTATTCGACAATTCGATGAGACCCAATTGTATCGTCAGCCGAAATATGGAGATGCTCCATATAGTGGTTTTCAAAATCAAGTTCAACCTGAAAAATGGAATCCAAACGAATGGATGTCTCTGGCAAAATCGTGCGGAGCACAAACTGTCATCCGTACTTCCAAACATCATGATGGTTACTGTTTATGGCCTGCTGAGAGTACTGCTTATCATGAAAAACGAGATATTGTGGGGAGATTTTAAGAAAGCAGCCAAAGATCATGGACTCAACTTTGGAGTCTACTATTCGTGGTGGGAAACTCGAGGAGATTCCTAGCAAACATTACTGTTATGATACGATGATTCCTCAAGTCAAAGAACTCTGCAATAGATATAATCCAGATCTATGGTGGTTTGATGGAGATTAGGCGTTGTGTAGTGATGTGGCTAACAATGCCATTGACGAATGCTTAGACTATATAGAAAAGATTAATCCAACGATACAAATGAATGATCGACTGCGAGAATCTGATTCGAAACGCATGATGAAAGAGAATCCTAATTGGTTAAGTAAATATTCTACTTTCAGAGTCTACGAGGATCGAACTCTTCTCGAAGTGGCTCCAAACGTTCCCTGGGAACATATCAATACTATTGGACTGAGTTGGGTACGTAACAAACACCAGAAGAAAGAACATTATAGAACTAGTGATCAGCTTGCTGAATTGTATAAAAAAAGTGTATGCTTTGAAAGGTCGTTTCTGTATCAATTTAGGTTCGGATGCAGATGGAACTTTAGATCCATTTGAAGTTGATAGCCTGAAAAATATGTCCAAAATTATCTTTTCAAAAAAAAATATCTCTTGAAATGATAGAACACAAAGATACTTCTCATAAACTTTTTTAAATGAACTCTTAAAATCAATATGTGCTGTGCTTTATTTCTTTTTATAATTCATAACATTACGGATAATGCTCATTAATAATCAAGAATAAAATTTATCTACAACATAAAAAATTTAAAAAAACACGTCCTCAACATCCAGCTATTTTCATATTGGTTGTCATGGTTTCCGATTGAGACAGATTTCAAATGTGGACAAAAAAGTTTATTCTTCTATATTGAAAGTAAAAATACGTGAAGGAAGGATTAGAATAATGGAAAGATGATCATTTTAGTAGCACGAGCTCCGACCAACAGTAGTTTTAAGACACATAGATTGTCAGCATGAGTTTGATTGTGGCTCTTGATCTTGTCTTTGCCCACACACAAGTCGGAACCTCCACACTCTCTCAAGCGCATAGTTGATGGACAGCTCCTACTGATAAGTACACTTAGTGCGAGAAAAGAAAAATCAACAGCTACTATTCTATCTCGAGTTGGCAACTGTATCTTTATGATGCCATCCATACCACACATCGTATTTTGAAACAAGCACGAAAATAAGAGCTGATTGATTAACTTCGTAGTAGAGCACAACATCGCCAATGGCTGGAAGTATGACGACTAGAAATTCCCAATACAACAATGTGGACGACGATAAATCGATTGAACCCATCGGTAGAAATATGGATATGAAAAATTTTCAAATACCATAGTTATTGAAGAGGAGATGTTCAATTGATTCAGATCATCCTACGAGTAGTAAAGGCCGAACACATTTTTAAATTTCATCCCACTTGCGGTATTAGAAAGATTAACAAAAAAAAATCCTATTAATAGAGTTTGAGACACTGAATTCCATTGCGTCGCTTTAAATTTTCAATATCTGAGTATTGAGCAGATTTGTCAATTGATGCAAATCTCAAAATTCTCATCTATAGTGTTTGCACATACCTTTTACACTGTATTAGTTCAAGAAACCAAAGCTACTGACCTCACGTGGAATCATGATAATACTATTTTCAACGAATGATTTAAACAGTTTTTTGACTGCTATCAATCATGCTTCTGTTGAGAAAATAGTAACATTAACGTAAAATTCACAGCAAATTTGAAATCAAGAGGCTTTATAGTGTGGCTGTCAGTTTTGAACGAAGACTCGAACGTACATCCAGACCCATGTAATTATTAGGTTTTAACTAGTACAATATGCTACTTTTTCAAATACAAAAATAAATAAATAATACTATCATCTACGGTAAAATTCTAGTTTTCCCTAAAATGAATTATTTTCTTTTCAGTTTTCATCAACACTGTCATCTTCGAATTCCGAATGATGATCTGCCGATAACTGTACAAATTCATTTTCGTATTCATCCATGATCAGAATCATTGTAGCGTTTATTATTTGACTATCATTCTTATCAAAAGCTGAGTGTCTATCGTCATAGAGAAATGCAAAATATTATTCCTCCATGTTGAGATATGAATGTGAGTGGGTGGGTATTTCTTTTCACGAAAACAAATGGACCACCCACACCCAACATATGTTCATTGATTATCACAGACCGTCAAGTTATTTGATCGAAAGCTAAATAAAACACATTGACATAATAGTACTCATATCCATAACTTGCAAGCGTGCCGACTAGATACTTTCATTTTCTCACTATCACCCTCTTCTTTTTCATCGTTCTGAAAAATATCTAAACTTAAGATCACATTGAACATACTGGAAATATTATCCACAAGAACATATACACATAGCTAGCACCAAAACACGCCGTACTTCTTGAAAAACCTATTGATGCTATATCAAATCGATTGACATAGTTAAAATCTAGAATGCTAAGCAGGAAAAAAGTAATTTTAGCAGAACTATTTGTTCGATCTAAGGCATATATTGGGCATTGTTTGTAATTGGAATATGTCAAATCAGTAACGCCTTTACTAAAGCATTGAATCT